CGGGACCACGATCGGGTTTGGCGAGAAAAGGGTGGTGACATCTGCACCAAAAAAAAAGGGGGAGGAAAGGGGGTGTAGACATCTCAGCGAAACACAAACATCAACCCAGTCAAGTCGCTGTCCTCTTGGCGAGTTGACTGGTGGAAACTTATCATGTTTACATCAGCCCTCATCTGCTGATTTAATATGTGTGTATATGTGTGTGTGTGTATATATATATAATACACATTTTTTAAAAACAAAATCAACTCGTCAAGACATACAATACCCAAAAGTTCGTTGGATATCACTCTGTTAAAAAAAACCTTCACTTCTGGCGAAGGAGAGAGAGAGACGAGAGAAAGGAATTCACACTCAAAAGCACCATAAAAGTTCATCACAACTACACACACACACATATATATATATAGGTATATGCGCACACGCAGAAGTCTGGACAAGAACACAATGAATCGTTTTGCATTTGTGTTTATATATATGTGTGTATGTGTATAGATATATAAAACGCTTTACAGACATTAAAATATTTACAGCGAGAAGATTAAAAGGTCCCGAATCAGAGAGAGAGAGAGAGAGAGGGGAGTTAGAGAGGGAGAGAGAGAGAAAAAGTTCCAAGTTCCTTCATTTCATGTCATGTCAACTACTCCCCGACCTCCAAGATCTCCCCCCTCCCCTCTCCCCCTCTCCCCCGGTGGCTCAGCTCGTTCTCCTCCTCCAGCCTCCGATTCTCTGCCCTGAGCCTCTCCACCTCGCGTTGGACCTCCCTCTCCCTCTCCTTCTCCTCCTCCTCCTCCTCCTCCTGCAGCTCGGGCTCCAAACCCAAAGCCAACCCCGACCCCAACCCGGGTCGGGGGTCGGTGGCTTCCAGCCGGCGCCTCAGCCGGTTCTTCTCGTCCTCCAGCCGGGACAGGCACTTCTCCAGCTCCAGGTACTCGCGGATCAGCTCCTGTTTGCTCATGTTCTGCAGGGTCTCGGCGTGGTACCGCTCGTAGGTCTCGCAGAAGTCCCTCTGGAGGAACTCGCTGCCCGAGCCCCCATGCCGTCGCTGCCGCTCTCCTCCTCCTCCGCCTCCTCCAGCAGCAGCAGCTCGTCGTCCTCGCCGCTGCTGTCGTCCGCTTTGCCGCCCCGCGCTTGTGGTGGTGGGCGGCGGCGGCGGCCGCGGCGGCGGCCACGGCGTGAGGGCAGAAGCCGGGGTTCAGGTCGGGCTCCTCGCGGTCGTGCTCGTCCATCAGGAACTGGGTGGTGTTGTACGGCGCCACCGTGAAGCCCTTCGCGAACATCTCGGCCCTGGTCTTGGCCGCCCTCACGCTCTCCCGCTCGTCCAACTCCTTCTTCTCCTCCCACGTCAGCTTGAAGTAGGGCTTCCAGCGGCGCTTCTTCTTGGACGGGCGCCTCCGGTGCTTCCTCTTGGGCAGCCGGGGCTCGCAGCCCGGGGCCGGGGCGGGTGGGGGTGGCGGTGGAGGAGGCGCTTGAGGCTGCCTCTCCGGCTGTTGGGGTCGGGGCGGTCGGGCAGGGCGGTCGCCAGCCCTCGGGCAGCTCCGTGGGGGCTTCTCAGCCGCCGGGGACCCCCTGTCCCTCTCCCTCTCCTCCTCCTTCTGCTCCAGCGCCGGACACTTGCCACCGGGACACTTCCGCTCGCCCAGCGCCGAAGCGTCCAGGAGCGGCTTCAGGAACAACTGGTCGCCCATTTTTTTTTCTCTCTCTCTCTCAGTGCGTCGCCCCCACCACCACCGTTTAAGTGCGCGAGGAGGGGGGCAACGAGGGAGTGGGTGGGTGAGGGGGCGGGGGGGCGGGATTTCTCCTCGAGGGTCTCTACTGCCCACTTGACCCCCGACTAGTGTCCTGTCAGGGACTGTTTGAGAAGTTTTCTCCGTGTGTTATGTTGTCCCTTTTTTTTTGAACCGTTCGGTCAGTCAGTCAAGTCAGTCACTCGCGAGCGACCCATTCCTCCCTCTTCGCTCGCCCACCCCCTAACTGATCCCACAGCTGGCCGGACGCGCCCTTATATACCGAGGGGCAAGGGACGCCCGGGAGGCATCGCGCGCCGCGCCAAGCCCCCGGGAGCTGTAGTTCGACCCGTCCCCGAACAGCCCGCAGTCCGCTCGGCCCCGGACGACATTTCCCAGAATTCCGACGCCCGCCCTCCTCTCCGCTCGAGCTTCGCGCCTCAAAGACCCGCCCCCCCCCCCCCACCTTTCCCTCCGCTCCGCTCACCCGGCCTCCCGCCGCCCGTTGGTCCCCGGCGTCCAATCAGTGCCGACTCCAGTCTGTTGCTAAGCGAACGTGGCGCGCCGACTGGTCAGCGCTGCCGTCCGTCAGTGACGGGCTACTCAGACCCGCCCCCTTGCACCAGTCACGTGGGTTGGGGGGGAGTGGGGGCGTGTACCGAGCTGGCAGTTTGCCGACGGTGCCATTCTAATAAAGGGGAGGGGGGGTGGTGTGGGTGATGGATGGGACGTTGTTTAACTTAACCGGTCAGGAAGAAACCCTCACCCACTGCAAGTGCAATGGCGAAGAGTTCACATTGATGTACATGTTGTTTCCTTTTTGCTGGAATTAAAACACACGGAGCCCACACGAGGCCAACTCGCAGCCCTCCCCCCCCCCCCCAAGTGAAATGGTTAAAATGTGGAAAAAGTAGTTCCTAAACACCAGATCTGAACCGCAGCACAAACCAAACAATTTTAGTGTGGGGGAAGGGAGTGTGTGTGTGTGTGTGTGGCGGCATCGGAACAGAATCTCTTGACCGGCGAGTGATTTGAAGGCGTAAAAATGCGCTCTGGGGGAAAGGGGGGGGTGTGTGGAAGCGGGCGGACGGATACTGTTTACAAGTTCACGGGCGCGAAGGGGTCTCGGTGGCTCCAGAACACAAAGAGAAGCGGCGGAGAGTAAATAAATAAATAGAGCGATTCCGAGTGAAGCGGCGCAGAGCGCTGTCCGGCACTGGGCAGCGCGGTCAGAGGGAGGGGTTCGTCACGCTGAGAGAGAGAGAGAGAGAGTTGTGGGGGGGGGACTGGTCTGTTACACTATACCCACAATAACAAATAAAATAAAATAAATAACTCCGTCTCCCTCTCAGCCTTCAGATTGAAACCGAAGACCTTTCCGCCTTGACCGCACGTGGCTGCGGTCACCTCTCGTCTCTCTCCCCCCCCCCCCCCACCCCCCAACACCCCCCACCCCCCCCACACCCCCCCCACCCCCACCCACCGCCCTCGGCCCCCGTCGCTGCTCAAGCGCTCTCGAGACGCCGCCGGAGGGACCGCGTAGCCACGCGGTGCGGTGCGGGGGGTGTGGGGGGGTTTCTTGTCCTCCGCTCGGAGCCGACCGAGGCCGACGGGGGGGGTCTGCGCTCGAGACCCGTAGCGGGAGCGACGGGTCGGGGATGGGGGGAGGGGGTAACGGGGCGATGCGTTTGCACGAGGCAGAGAGAGAGAGAGAGAGAGAGAGATCTCTCTCGAGGTTCAAGACGTCTGTGAGCCCCGTTGCCTCGCGGCGGGGGGGTCAACTGTCACGGTGTAACGCCCCCCCCCCCCACATCCCCCAACCCCGAAGCGCTTTTGAGACGTCTCGGAGGCGTCCACGAGGCGCGGTGCCGAGCGCGGGGGGGGTGGGGGGTGGGGGGTCGTTGCCGTTTGTTCACGGCAATCCTTCCCGGGTTATGTTGAGTCGGTTGTAAATTTTGGACCCCCGTCCCCTTCCCGTCCGTCGTACGGCGGTAAACATTGCCCGTTGCTTGACGTGTGACGTGTGACGAGTGAAAAGGAGCCGCGCACAATACACCGCGACGTGAACCGCCCGGATAGCTTGCGGGCAAGTCGCCAACAGAGGGGCCGACGAGACCCCGACTGGAACCCCTCGCGCCCTAAACCCACACAGCCGCCGCTCACAGCCGAAACGATGATGGTTTCCTAGACCCCCGGCTGATTTTTAGGGCGCCGTCCACTGTTTCCGGACAAGAACCAAACTTGCAGAATAATAATAATAATAATAATAATCCTCGCGTTTGATATAGCGATTTTCACGTCCCAAAGCGCTTCACAGAACACACTGTAAAGTGAATTGACTGTATGTTTGTGGGCGAACGCGGCGGCCGATTGCGCACAGCGATGTCCCACAAACAGTCGTGGGTTGAAAAGGACCAATTTATTGGGCAGACAACTTTATGTGGAACCCTGTCTTCACAGTACAACTGAATAACCCTTCGGACATTCACTCTCTGCCTCTAGCGTTCCTCGGAGAACCGTGTGTCAGCTGTGCAGAGACTAAACCAAAGCCACGACTTATTGATGGATTCGGACGCCTCTTACTTGAGAGTCAGTGCACGGACCGGGAAAACAAACCGTCACAGCCTCGAGCGGCAATCAAGAACCTACCTCTTTAATCATCCTTGCGATTTGATATAGCGCCTTATCACGTCTTCGAGACGTCTCAAAGCGAACATTTTGTGGTCGAAACCCGGCAGCCAACTGGGCACAGCGGCGTCCCACAAACAGTCGTGGAATGAGCGACCAATCTATTATTATTATTTTTCTTTGAAGGAACTACTACGCCCGGAAAAGTGATCCGCCAATCGACTAACAACCGGGTTCCTACTTACTGCGGGCGTGTGGGGTAAGGAAACGTGCCCAACATTTTGCCCAGCCGGGGATCGAATCCAGGACTTCTCGCTTGCGAGGCGAGTGCTCTAACCGCTGAGCTACAGGATCCCACTTTGACCGCACTTTTGGTCGGCCTCCACCCCCCACCCCCCACCCCACGTCCCCCCTTAGGCTCCCATCCCCTCAGCTCGGGTACCAAGGCCCGGCGTTCCGAGACCTCCCGAGGTGAAAAGGCGCCGTCAAAACTATCGCAACAAGATTGCTCGCCTCAATCCGCGCACAGCCTGATATCTCTGCCGCCCGGCTTTAAATTAAATTACACTTTGAATTAAAGTTTGTCGATTTGCGTTCCATTCCATTCCACGATTGCGTGCGCGCAACGGACAGTATTTTTTTTTCCCCTTTATGTGACCGTCTTTATATCCGGGAACACGGAGACCCTCCATTTCTGGCTGAGGCCGACAGATTGTCTCGAGACCGATCTGGAAGAAGAGGTATTTCAGCGGAAAACAATGCAAAGAATAGACCTGGAAATGAGTATAAAATACAAGCAATTTTTGGACTGTATTTTGCGGGCGAAACGCAGCAGCCGGTTGGCGCGCGGCGATGTCCCGTAGACAGCCATGGAAGCGAGTGACCAATTTTATTTGGGGGGGGAATTGTTGGCCAGGACCCCGGGGGAGAGAGAGAGAGAGAGAGAGAGAGAGAGAGAAACTCCTTTCTCTTTTCGAATAGTGTCGCGGGATGTTTAATGTCCACCTGAACAGTCATCCGAAGGACGGCATCTCAGACAACGCAACAACCCCCCCCAAGCGCTGCATTGGAGCGTCAGTTTAGACGATGTGATTCCAAGTCCCGACGTGGGGCTTGAACCCACCACCTTCTGACTCAGAGACGAGAGAGAGCGAGAGAGAGAGAGCGAGAGCTACCGCTGAGTCAGGCTGAATGAAGGAAGCGGGGAGTGAAGACAAGACAAACACATACCTACCTCCTGTTCCCTCAGCTTCTCTCCCTCCGGCGAAGGATGAGACGGACTATCCACTGAGCCAAGAAAGGCCACGCAATCAGAAATATCAACGTCGGTGCAGATCGGCCAAAGAGCCACTCGGAAGCTCTCTGGAGCACAAGAAAGAGCGGCACATCAACTCCAATGCAAAGACACGAAGAGCCCCACACACACAGACACACACACACACAGACACACACACACAGACACACAGACACACACACGCACACACATACACACAGATACACACACACACAAACACACACACACGCACACACGCACAGACACACACACAAACACACACACGCACACACATACACACAGACACACACAGACACAGACACACACACACACAGACACACACACACACACAGACACACACACACACAGACACACACACACAGACACACACACACAGACACACACACGCACACACATACACACAGACACACACACGCACACACATACACACAGACTCACACACAGACACACACACATACACACAGACACACACACACACACACAGACACACAGACACACACACACACACACAGACACACAGACACACACACACACACACACCAGCCATTGAAAATATCCACTCTATTATTGATTCAAATATAAATTGGATGGATTTCTTTAGATGGAGAAAATAATATTTTTGGACACAGCATATGAGTAATTTGAGACGATATGTATATATATATATATATACATATAGACGATATGTATACATATATATTATATATATATAATAGTATGACTTAGAAGAACCAGACAACTTGGGATCTAAGTTTCCCAAAGCTTTCCGTTCTGTTGTGGTCTAATCCGTACGGAATTAATCGGTACCAACATCCCCATAATCGTACCGGGACAGTAGAAGGCGAACAAGGTGGACGTTGGTCTTTATTTGTCCAGCGGTTCCTACGTCCCTAATTTCC